TATATGTGCAAAAAATTGGTGTGTGCAAAAATGCAAATATTGCCCAAAGCAGTTATATATAAAAAATATATATATAATAAAGTGCAATAACCAAATAAATAAATAAATAATGATAAAAACTGTGCAAATAATATATTATGATCCCTCCACTTATGCAACCTAAAGTGGTGATTCAAGCTATATACTTCTTATCCTTAACTTAAATGACATATAATTGTCCCAATCTGTTTGTACAGATATATGGAAAGTATATTGTTGTTGAGGTAGACTGTGGTTTTACTTTCCTTCCACTAGATGGGGATGTAAAGATGTTTACATCCCCCTGAGGAAGCCACGTGACCCTGTGGCGCAACGCGTAGGGGAGGGGCTCTGACGTCACGACGCCACTATCAGCGGAACGGCGAGTACTGTCTTTGTGCGAGGGCACACATTTAAAAAAACGCTCTGTATTATCCTGTGGAATGTGAGTTTGCATTTGTCTGGAGACGCATTAAAACCTTTTATAAAGGATAAAGCACCATGTGGGAATTTTTCTTTTTCATGGCCTAAATCGGAGGAGTACAGGGGAGGAAGAGGAAATAGGATATAGACCTCGGACAACATGAGGGGAGATATCTATATCCATCCATCCAGCCCTCACAACCCAGAAGAAACTGGGAGGCCATCTAGTGGAAGGAAAGTAAAACCACAGTCTACCTCAACAACAATATACTGTACTTTCCATATATCTGTACAAACAGATTGGGACAATTATATGTCATTTAAGTTAAGGATAAGAAGTATATAGCTTGAATCACCACTTTAGGTTGCATAAGTGGAGGGATCATAATATATTATTTACACAGTTTTTATCATTATTTATTTATTTATTTGGTTATTGCACTTTATTATATATATATTTTTTATATATAACTGCTTTGGGCAATATTTGCATTTTTACACACACCAATTTTTTGCACATATACATTATTGTGTATGGAGGTTCCTTTGTCCATTTTTCACGTTTTGTTTACATAATTTGAATACATCATTTCTTTCACATTATTAAATATTTTTTTTTAGTTAATTATAATTCAATTAATTATAGCACTGGGAGTTTTTAAATTTAATTTAAATCACACCACCATGAATTAATATTTATGAAATATTTATTTACATTTATTTATTTCTATATATATTACACATCATTAAATATCCTTTGAGGAGCGCGACACATTTAATATTTTATTTGTTTATTTTTACCCAGTAGGATCCAGCACTATTTTTTCAGTTGTGAGTGGACACTAATCTGATAATCTGATATATTTTGACATTTATATATGGTTTACTGCAGGGTTTTGCAAAACTTCAGGTATAATTTTTTTGCAGCACTGGGGTTGGCAACAATACCAGTAGGAGATATTAATCAGATTTTTATGCAGTGCTGGGTTTGGTAACAATACCAAGTAGGAGACAATAGATTGGTTTATTGGTTATCACTTAAAGTGTTACTAAACCCACAACAGTAAAAAATCAGTCTGTAAATGCAGTAAAGCATGCTTGTTATACTCATTGTTGAACCTAAGGGATTAATCCTCCATGCTGTGTAAAAAGGCTGCCTGGTCCTGTCTTTTCTGATCCTCCCCTTCTTCCATGGTCCCCACTCCATTTGCTGATAGTACAGAGCTCTAGGAGTCACTCTGAACATGCTCAGTTTAGTGTGTATGGCTATCAAATTTTTTTTCTTTGGTCGGGTGCATGTCATCAGCACAGAGAAGGTCATGCAGCCTCATAGTACAGTGAAGCTCCTCCTACAAGCTTTAACCAGTGCTCGACTGGACTGATAGAAGTCACAAGACTGCTATATAGTATATTTAGTAGTTAATAATTAGTAAAAATAATTGCATTCCCATGTTCTGTGTACTGTGGAAGACTGGATATAGTGAATGCTGGTTCGTGGATTTAGTAAGATAATATTTTCACGTACTTATTTAAGCACATATACATATACAATGTATAGATTTTCATCTTTTATTGGAATAAGCACCACACTTTTACCACAATTTTAATACAGTTCTTTAACACATGTGGAGACACAGAAAGTGTTGGCAGCTATTCATCTGTTAACAGTTTATAGATCATCCTGGTGGTAGCACAGAAGTAGATTTTGCTCTCTTGTAGTCCTATTCGTAGGTGTCTTTAGATGACTATATAGCTGGCACCTGACTACAAGCTCCCCCCCAGCTTGAACTCTTTTGTCCCCAAAGATGTAATAGAACCTACTGCAGTACTAATTGCTCAATACACAATAATAAATTTGATCATTAACTGTAAAAGAGAAATCGACCATTAATCATATTTAAATATAATTTACAAATGTCAGGGTTTATCTGTAACCATCTGAACTCATCAGTTAGAGTAAGATTGTTTTGTTGACAGGCTAGTGAAAGGACAGTTGCCTACCCAGTAGTGTCAGAGGGCGAGTCAATGTCACCTTCTACCCAATGAACAGTAGTAGAATCTGGCATTTTATTGGAACATTGAGTAGTGGTTATAAGTTTATCAGAGTTTTCTCCCAGTGTACCATAGGTCAGCCTTTTGGGTGAGTTGATGTTCTGTCTTTGGGCGTGGGCTTATGATTTGAATCAGAAGTATTTGTGTTTAACTGATCAGGGGAATCGTCGGCATGTAGGCTGGGCTCTGGCTTTAAAGTTGCAGGATCATGCGCTTCTTCATAGATGCCTTGATGGGGCTCAGCCTCCCTTGTTTCCAGTCCACAATCGGAACCAGCAGCAACTGAATGAGGTTCAAACTCAAAAACATTAGCAACTTTGAGCCATATCATCTGGATTTCATCTCTATGGTCAGCCTAACTTTCAACACCCCTTCTGATGGGTGGACTAGCTGGAGGCTTCTAACTCTGAGGCTTCTCCTCCTGTTTCCCCAACTGAGGTGGAGGTGTCATTATTCTCCTGGACCTGTGGTCACAAGCAATCAGGCACCATCTCAACTTCATCCCTTTCATTCTTTTCCTTTGAATGTTAATTTGACATTGCCGGCGTGCTTAAGGTTGTGTGGTTCAATTGGTTCTAGGTCAGGAGGCTGAGTTATTCGGATGACATCTGAAATGGGTAGCAATGGTTTCGGTGCCACATTTTCAGCGGGCCCATTTTTCCTTTCAGGGTGGATCTGATAAGTTGATTGCAGACGATACATGGTTGGGACCACCAGGTTGAGTTTCCTGGGTACTCCCAAGTTTCTTAACAGCACATGATCCCCTGGCTGAAGGACTTGTACTTTCACCTTGAGGTCAAAGTTCTTTTTATTTCTTTGCTCTTGTGTGGTTGCAGTCTCTCTCGCCTTCTCATAGGCTTGCTTCAAAATTTTCTGTAGTTGTTCAACATACTCCTTCTATGAAGTCAGGGATGTGTGATCCATGGTGGTTCCAAAAACTAGGTCGACCAGCAGTCAGGCTTCTCTCCAAAGATTAATCTGTAGAGGGAATACCCAATGGCATCATTAGTTGTTCTGTTGTAGGCATGAACTAGAGCTGCAACATGATTTCTCCAATGTTGTTTCTTCTCTGAGAGAAAAGTTCCCAGAATATTCAACAGAGTGCAATTGAACCATTCAGGTTGAGGATCTCCCTGTGGAGGATATGGGGAAATTTGGGATTTTTGGATGTCGAGCAGCTCACATAGCTTGTGAACAAGTTTGCTCTCAAAGTCCCTGTCCTGGTCAGAATGTTTTCGTTGTGGCAGACCATAGTGCACAAAAAACTTTTCCACCAGTACTTTCACCACGGTGACTTTTGTTGATCCTTGGTGGGGAAGGCAGCAAGGTAGAAGCTGGCAATTACAGGCCAGTGGGTTTATCATCGGTTGTAGCCAAGTTAATGGAATTACTCCTGAAAAGAAGGATTGTTGATCACTTACAAACACATAACTTTCTGGACCCAAAGCAGCATGGCTTTACTGGGGGGCATATTATGTCAGACTAATCTGATTTTTTTTTTTACTATATTGCCAATTTTGGACCAGGGTGGTGCTGTGGACATAGCATATCTTGATTTCAGCAAGGCATTTGATAAAGTTCCCACATAATGATCTAATACAAATGTTGTACAAGCTAGGACTTAACCCTTGAGTGGTTCAGTGGATATGTAGTTGGCTGGAAAGATACCAGAGTGTGGTTGTAAATGGGGTTCACTTGGAACAGAGACCAGTCACTAGTGGTGTACCCCAGGGCTCTGTGCTAGGTCCTGTTCTATTTACTAGGACTAAAGGGTTGTTGGGTAAGGTATGTCCTTTTCCTGATGATAGAAAGATGTGTAATAGGGTTGATATCCCTGGTGGTGTCTGTAACATGATTCGGCATTGCTGAAAGATTCGTCAAAGAAGTGGAAACAGCATTTCAATGTTTTGAAATGTAAAATAATGCGCCTAGGGAAAAAGAATACCTTGAGAGAATACAACATTGGGGGTTAAGTGTTGGCCAGCACTACAGAGGAAAAAGATTTTGGGGTAATTATTTCAAATGATTGCAAAGTGATCAGTGTGACCAGGCAGTGGGGAAAGTGAATAGAATTCTAGGATGCATCAATAGAGGGATCACCAGCAAGAGGAATGGATTTGAAGAAACTTACATTATTGTTATTTCTTTGAGAACGGCACTGGAACTGCACTTCATATGGTGGGCTTTTTATGGGGAATTTTCGTTTGCACTATGTTTCATTATTGTATGTTTATTTTGCACAGATTTGCACTATTTAACCACCTCCCGCCTGCCATATAAGGAAATGATGGGCGCAAGGCGGTTCTCTCGTTCTGGGAGGATGTCATATGACATCCTCCCATTCTAACCACGCATGCACGGCTCTGAGGGCGCGCAGCGCGGCGATTGGTGGTGTGCTGTGTCCCTCTGACACAGTGGATCACCGTTCAATGGAAAGAGCCGAAGATGTCGGGTCGGTCATGTGATCAGCTGTGTCCAATCACAGCTGATCGCATGTAAATAGGGAAATGCCAGTTATCTGCATTTCTCTCCTCATGAGCTGTCACGCTGACAGCTCGAGAGGAGAGGAGAGCCGGTAATCGGCATTCCACGGAGGGGACATGTACACTGATCATCAGGGCACTGATGATCAGTGTGCCCTGATGATCAGTGCTGCCATAGCAGTGCCACCTGTCAGTGCTCATCAATGCCACCTACCAGTGCCTATCAGAGCCACATATCAGTGCCTACCAGTGCACATCAGTGCCACATATCAGTGCCCATCTGATCTGCCATTCAGTGTCACCTATCAGTGCCAGTCAGTGCCGCCCATCAGTGCCAGTCAGTGTCTCCTATCAGTACGTATCAGTGCCGCCTATCAGTGCCATATATGAGTGCTGCCTTTCAGTGCCCATCAGTGATGCCTGTCAATGCCCATCAGTGCCACCTACCAGTGCCTCCTCATCAATGCCCATCAGAGCCACCTATCAGTGCCCATCAGTGCAGCCTCATTAGCGCACATCAGTGAAGGAGAAAAATCACCTATTTACAAAATTTTATAACAAAAACTAAGAAAAAACTTTTTTTTTTTTTTTTCAAAATTTTCAGTAGTTTTTGGTTTGTTTAGCAAAAAATAAAAAAACCCAGAGGTGATTAAATACCACCAAAAGAAATCTTTATCTGTCTCAAAAAAATTATAAAAACTTCATATGGGTACAGTGTAGCATGACCGCGCAATTGTCATTCAAAGTGTGACAGCGGTGAAAGCTGAAAATTGGCCTGGGCAGGAAGGGGGTATAAGTGCCCTGTAGGCTAGTGGATAATATTTTGTTCTTTATAAGCACTACACTTTTACTATTGCCTTTTTGGGGGTTGTATCATTACTCTTGGTTTCAGCTGCTATTCTTTCAGTTTTACCTAAGCGCAGGTCCTATATACACGATTTTGATGTATTTGGAACTAGTTCTATATTGTTTCTGTTAAAAAGTATCAATAGCAACCTATTTTCAATATAAGACATCAGTGGAGAGGAGCTTTTTTTCCCCCCCCCCCCCCCCCCTTTATGTCCACCTGCCAGATCATCCACTGCTATACCTTTATGATTGGTCAGTACTATATTGGAGCATACTCTGTTTATTGTTTGAAACATGTTATATATTATATTGTTTGTTTATGATATTTGAGATATTGTTATTTTCTTGTCCTGATAAAGCTATCTAATTGTGAAACTCATTGACAGAAGCATACCTACCTTTATATATAGTAAATTCTATAGATATGTGTGCACAAAAGTTCAAGCTAGCTTATTCACCAATCCAGGAGAAGATTTATGTATGTCTTTATTCTTCCAGGACATATTTTTCTAGTGTAGTGCTATTTTTACACTCTTTGCGGCTACTGGGGTATGATAGCGTCACCTGTATAGTATTTAGGAGCAGAGTCTGTGTAATATGAGTGATCAGGACAAGATCTCTAACAAGCGCTAGTGCCTTCACTCAATTGGGGCTTGTGGATAACAAGTGAAATCCCAATTGAGAAATGTATCGTCCACATAGACAGTAATCCACACAGCATTGTATATGAAAGTCCATGTATTGAAGAAATCACATTCAGTGAACCATCCAACATAAAGTATCTTCCAAACAGGAACATTAAAGCATTAACTGTCTTTTTTGCATGTCTCGGTGAGGGGAGGCTGCAACACTTACAGTCTGAGCTCTCTCTCTGCAGGAAATCCACACCCCTCTCTTTTCCACAAGTGCTCTCTCTGATGACCTCATCCTCAGTGCCCAGAGAGCATAGCAGCCATATTGGAAAAGGGCAAAACAAACACTGCATAACAGAAGTATACACTGGAAAATGGGCAAAGAAATGGTCACATCACTGCAATCGATACATGTATTTCTCTTTCTGTGGATCATAGCCCTGTTGTTACTGACCTTTCTGTGAATCTGGCTGTTTTTTCTGATGCTACCCACAGCAGTCTTTGCCCTTTTTTCCTCTACTGTTCCTTAAAACCATGCAAACGAAGCTTTATCATGTGATTTATCCCCATTGGACTTTCATTTAAGCCTTAACATTAAGGACTGTATTTGGAAAGAGGAAAATGTGGATATTTTGTCTTTGTTTCATTCTACCAAAGATAAAAAAAAGAGACTGACAGAAGTAAGGATTATAAGCACAGACATTTTTCTTGCTCAATCAACAATTGGCTGCAGGCATTCAACATTTACACTAGCATTATGGGCAAACAGCATCCTTAACATTGCAGTAGATCATTTCCACATATGGAAATAATTTTAGAGATTTATAAGAATTTGAATGGCTTATCTTGGTTTAACTATCATGAATCATTCCATAATAAGCTCTCAGTGTATTTGAATTTGAAATGGGGTACTAAGGATATAGGACTGATGTTAAATTTATTGTTGCTTCAAAAACCAGTGATTAAGCAAAATCTTCCATTACACCGTTAGTTGTTTGTGAAGGTCAATAAAAGCGACCTAATTCTTGTAAAAATAGGCAGTACCCTAAAATATTTTTCCTAAAAGCAGCAACACTTGTGAGACCGCACAGTGTTACCAAAGCTTCACATTTGGCCAAATCAGCAGAAGGGAGCTCTCTTAATTGATGGTTGTATTGATATTTTTAAATTTACCCTCAGTTTGTAGGTTAGCTTTGGAATAGACATTAGGATAGCCGTCATAGGATTTTGTTCTAATCCGATAAGGGTGTGGTTTATGCTATAAACTGTCTCTCACTTGTTATTGCTATACTCTTAAAGCTAGTATTTAAATGTTCAGCACTTAATATTTGGATAAAGGATTGCTATCTTTTGGGTATATTTAATGAGATAGTGGACTATTAGTCATGTATTCAGATGGCTCATTTTCATATTTTGGCACCAGAAATGGATAAATTGGTCAGTTTATGTTCACCTCATCTCTGGACTTTGATTTGAATTTGTCCAATGTTCTATAAAACATTCTATTGCCCCTCTACATGGGCCAATTATAGTCCATATGGTGTTCCTTTTTTGCATACTTATAGTCCCAGTCATCTTGGTTTCTTGGAATCTTCTGTACTAGCTTTTATTTATTTGATGGTACAGAATTATTCTTCCTCTCATGTAAATAAAACATTAATTGTTATAATTGTTTTTCTAAAATTACATACAGTAGTAATACTTCTTCCACAAGTTTTTTCTCTATAAGACAGACATTAAACGTTTCAATAAAAGGTCCAGGACAGTGCTACATACAGTACATAATAATAATATAGTCCTCATATGTGTGCCAATAAGCGATGTGAATACGGCACAATGCTATATTCACAATGTTAAAATCCTCATATATGAAAATCCTTCTCAACATCCATATACAATAAACATAATCAATCCCATCCAAGTGCACATAACTGTAACTTTTGATAACACCACTTGTGAGATACCATCACCTTCAGCCTTTTGTCCCTGGGTTATGGGGATTATCTTCCTGATGGGATGCTCTGTTCACTGGTGCATACCAATCATCAATGTGTGTATATAAAAAGATAAACTAAACATAGTGTGTACCAGAAAAACTCAATTTATTTAAAACAGTCTATAAAACACACTCACAAGTCAAGTGCACTATCCTGGTGCACTGCAGACCAAAGCAATAATCGAATACAATTCCTCCACATGAATGCGGCACCTGGTGTCACTCTCTCCACACCCTTATGCGTTACGCCTATGTGGCTTCATCAGAGGGTACGTGAAGTAGTGACATAATCCCTTATACATAGCGGTCCTCCTTGATGGTTAAGATTGCAACTCCCCCATCACCAATGACCATATCTGGAATGTAGCCAGATCGGCTACACTTAATAGATACATGTAATTGTAAATACTACTCTGATGTCTTAAGCTCTTCATCAAGGATGTTAACCCCAAAGTTGCTAGTTTAAATGTTCTATTCATCTACCTACAGTTTGAACAGAATGTACACTAAATACCGCATGCATTTACATATATTGATACACCCACAATCTTTAATGATCAATAAAACAATTGACATCAAACACATTCTACATTCAAGCCTTTAATTACTAAGTTTTAAGCTCAAAAATCCACTGTGACTCTGCTTTACTCAGAGTTTTAATTTTGTTACTCCCTCCCAATCTCTTTTATATGTTTCTATGCCCCAAAATTGCATATTTGATGGATCACTATTATGGTGGTCTTTAAAGTGCAGTGATAAATATTGCTTGGGGAAGCCTCTTAGTATGTTATAGACATGTTCTTTAATTCTTTTTGCTAGAGTCCTTTTGATCCTACCAATATACTGTAACCCACATGGAAATGATATGGCATACACAACCCCCTCCGTTTGGCATGTAATACGATCCTTTATCTCTTACTCTTGTTTAGTAGCATATGATGAGAACAATTTTCTCCTCTTCTTATTGCATGTGGATTTACTACAGGCAACACATCTGCCACATGCATAAAATCCTTTGATGTCAAAAAAGGTTATTATTTCTAGGGGGGAGTCTGTAACAATTTTTTACTATCCTATTCTGAAATGTAGGGACTTTCTGATATATCAATTTAGGTCAATCTGGTAACATAGTTTTTTAGATGTTTGTCTCTACTATGTTATGTTGTTTGTTATAATGCAATAACACTGGTAATTTGAAATTATTATCATTTTGATGTTCCTTGTTTTCAATTAAGCACTGTCTATCATGTTTACCTATTTTTTCAATCTGTTCATATATTGTTGAATATTTATAACCTTTTGTCTATAAACATTTTTCCTATACATTTAGCTTGAAGATCATAATCTTTTTGTTGAGTACAATTTCTTTTGATCCTAAGTAGTTGACCTTTAGGGGTATTCATGTCCCCATGACATTCATGTAACCATGTCTTGTGATAGCTATATTCTGACAGACAATTGCCATTCCTATCTGTTGATTTAAAATATGTTCGGGTATGAATTCTCCCTAAATGGTTATAGATTTCCAGATCTAAAAAAATGGAGTTTCTGTATTAATTTACCATGTGAGTACTATATTTTTCATATTAATATTTAATCCTGATGTAAAATTGATAAAATGCTGTATATTGCCCTTCCAGATAACTATAAAGTCAACTATGAATCTAAAATAATGTACTAGGTCCTCTGGTTGGTGTTTATATATTCTCTCCGTCTGTTTAACTGGGTTTTTTTTTGCCTTCCTCTAGATCAACTTTTTTTTTCTGTGGTTGAACTGGATGGACTTTTGTCTTTTTTCAACCAGACTAACTATGTAACTCCTCTTCCCATTTAGCCATAAATAGGTTGGTGATATTTGGTGCAAACTTCGTGCCCATCGCCACACCTCTGGCCTGTTAATAAAACATTAAACTTTAAAAGATTACTGCAAGCACCTTCTTACCGATGAAATCCACTTTCCATTCAGCCTTCCAATAAAAGAAGTACATGCTCCATAAGGAGAGACATAATTTTACCCTTGTACAAAGCATTAGTAATACCTAATCTTGAATATGCAGTTGAGTTTTGGGCAAAAAGGATTTCCAAAAAGGAGTTTGGGAGCTAGAGAATTTGTAGAGAAGGGCAACCAAACTGGTAAGGGGCATGGAAGACCTCTGCTTTGAGGACAGATTAGATGATCTGAATTTATTCTATCTTGAGATGAGGCAATTAAGGGGGCATATGATCACAATGCACAAATACATAAGTGATATATACGGTAGGAAACTTAATTTAGAGTTATTTACTTTAGAGTCATTACAAAGGACAAGAAGGCACATTTTGCATCTGGAAGAAAAGAGATTGAACCTCAACATACATAAGGCTTCTACAGTAAGAGCTGTAAAATAGGCTCACTAAACTACTAGTTCTGGCCAGCTCTGTAGGCTGTTTAAAAAGAAGCTGCATGCATCCCTATATGCACAAAATAACTAGATATTAACATCTATAGGTATTAACAGCAGATTGCTGATCCAGGAACTATCCAATTGCCTTTTGGGGGATTAGGAAGGAATTTATTTTTCCCCTACCTGGAGCAAATTAGACCATGCTTTATAGGATTTTTTTTTGCCTTCCTCTGGATCAACTGTGGGTATTTTATTCTGTATATGGTTTTCTATGTATTCATTCTATTTATTTATTTTTTTGCTTTTGGTTAAACTATTGTTTAACTGAACTTGTTTATTTTTTAATTTGACTATGTAAATACTGCTACAGTGTATTATAGCAACTTTGTTCAGCCACTGATAACATTTGTTTTACCTCTTATAAATCTTCTTTTTTCAGGTTGATATTGGTGTTATAATTTTTGAGTGGTTTTCATGTTTTTGAACTACTTCTATGTAATTCTAATGGCTCTTTCAGTATTTATCTTCAGGACTTTTTCATTGGCAATTATTTTCTTATTTTCTCCATAAAAGTAAGATGAGCAGTTCAACAAAGTATGCTGGAATTTATTCTGAAAGTTGGTAGGATCCTTTGTTTGCTCGGGTTCATTAGCTAACACATTTTTACACATAAAATAATAATAAAGTGAGCACTTACTAAAAAATAATAATAAACAAGCTGCTAGCATAACAGAAAACCTCTAAAAATCCTTAAAAATGAATGAAAAAATGAATAATAAAAGTGGAAAATTGGTGATAATTGCACAAAATGATGCGCTAGCAGGTGATACAGCAGTGGTGTCTTAATGAAGACAATAGATATTTATAAAGTGACAGCAAAAAGCCACCAGGACAAAAAGCTGATATAGTGTAGTAATGGGCTGTAGTGGGCTGAATAAATTACTACACTATATCAGCTTTTTGTCCTGGTGGCTTTTTTTGAGCTACTTAAGGTGGATCCCCTATTGTTGCTGTACTCACCTATCGCCGGGTGTAAGTAATAACCTGTGAGCAGTTTCCACCATCGGAGAGCGTCCATTGAGAGGTCTGGAGCATTGTCCCTGGGTGTATCGAAACTCAAAAAAGTGCCATTGGAGTACCATATTCCAACCAGGTTCCAGGTTCCAGATTGACCACCAACCAGGTTCCAGTGTCCCTTATACTACATGCGTAATATCATTTTACTTCCAGTGAGTGCAAGCACATCCCTTTTCTTTCTCATCACGGAAGTCACGTGCACCTATGATTATACGATGGAAGTTTAAGTGAATGTTTGTTATCTTCCTTATTTGGGAAAGCTGATGCACCTTTTGAACAAATTTATGGACTTTTATGATCTCTTTGTGTATAATGCACCTATATGATATTGCTGTCACTTTATAAATATCTGTTGTCTTCATTAAGACACCACTGCTGTATCACTTGCTAGCGCATCATTTTGCGCAATTATCACCAATTTTCCACTTTTATTATTCATTTTAGCGCTGCATTTCTGATTACATAACACATTTTTACGTTTCACACCAGAATCCAGCAGCCATCTCTTCTGATTCATCAGAATGGTTTTCCCCTAACAAAATTACAATTCCTGGCAGTTACCAAAAACTGTTTATCTGTGCTTGTTTTACATCATTTCACATTTTCATCTTATTCATTTCATATCTGGCAACTTTTTGTGTATGATAATCTATCATAAAGTAAATGGGTGGTTTTTATATGTCTTACATTTGCCTTCAGCCTTTGATTATTTACAGTTTCAGCAAGTGTAACTTGACAGACTCTGCCACTGAGACATTTGGATAAAATGAAATGTGTGACAATTTAATTCTTGGAATGCCCATGGTGGTGTAGCACTATGGTGGTGATGCACACAGACCCATCACACTTGAGCGTGTTCTTACATGTTCTAACTTGCATTTGCCTGGGTCACAGACCAGTTGACTCACTTGTGTGCGTTGCACTGTTGGTGGAAAATGAGTGACATGAATCTTTTTTTGAATAGTTTTAGTTTAGGTTCACAGTAGTGCAGCAGCAATCTGCACATGACTACAACACGGAGGCATAAAATCACAGTAAGAAACAATTTAATGAAAAATAGATTACAAGGCCAATAACCACTTGCCTACATGGCACTTATACCCCCTTCCTGCCCAGGCCAATTTTCAGCTTTCAGCGCTGTCACACTTTGAATGACAATTGCGCGGTCATGCAACACTGTACCCGTATGAAATTTTTTATCATTTTTTTGCGACAGATAGAGCTTTATTTTGGTGGTATTTAATCACCTCTGGGTTTTTTATTTTTTGCTAAACAAACCAAAAACAAGTGAAAATTATGAACAAAAAAATGTGTTTTCTTAGTTTTTGTTATAAAAGTTTGTAAATAAGTGATTTTTCTCCTTCACTGATGTGCGCTAATGAGGCTGCACTGATGGGCAGTGATAGGCTGCACTGATGGGCACTGATAGGTGGCACTGATGAGGAGGCACTGATAGGTGGCACTGATGGGCATTGACAGGCATCACTGATGGGCACTGAAAGCCAGCACTCATATACTGTATGACACTGATAGGCAGCACTGATAGGTGGCACTGACTGGCACTGTTGGCACTGACTGGCATTGTTAGGCGGCACTGATAGGCAGCACTGATGGGCACTGATAGGCGGCACTGATAGGTGGCACTGACTGGCACTGATAGGTGGCAGTGATTGGCAGCACTGATAGGTGGCACTGACTGGCATTGATAGGTGGCACTGACTGGCACTGATAGGTGACACTGAAAGGCAGATCAGATGGACACTGATATGTGGCATTGATGTGGCACTGATGGGCACTGGCAGGTGGCATTGATGGGCACTGACAGCTGGCAAAGATGGACACTGACAGGGGGCACTGCTGGGGCTACACTGATCATCAGGGCACACTGATCATCAGTGCCCTGATGATCAGTGTACATGTCCCCTCTGAGGGAAGCCGATTTCCGGCTCTCCACTCCACATGAGCTGTCAGCGTGACAGCTCGTGAGGAGAGAAAATGCTGATAACTGGCATTTCCCTATTTACATGCGATCAGCTGTGACTGATCACATGACCGAGCCGACATCTTCGGCTCTTTCTGTTGATCGGTGATTTGCTGTGTCCGAGGGGCGTCTAGTGGGCCATTAGGTTATCTCTCCCTATGCAGTTTGTCAGCTTTCCCTATTCTTTCCATACAGCAGCTCCCAATACACTGCCACTCTGCCTGATCTGCTTCCTTTTATAGTAGGGAGCTGGCTTATCCAAAAGCCACTTTATTGGCCCTTCTAAGCCTGCTGGCCATAGTTCAAAGGCCATGCAGTGCATTATGGTGTAAAAAAAAATCTCCTAGGTGATTCTGCATATAAATTTGCTGGAACTGGGAATCTCAAACTCTCAGGATTTGCCTCAAATATAAATCCTAATGAGGATGTGTTGGAATGTGCTGACAATGTGCACACAAGTGCTGTATTTTCTCTATTAAATTTGGTATAATCTCTTATTTACAACTGGAAAACAATTGTAAAAAATGCTGAATATATTGTTACTGGAGTTTTATAGTATTGTATTCCAATGAAATTTTATTTTTATTCAACAAGATTATATGTGCATCATCCTCAGTATCTCGTTCACTCTAATGTGCAAGAAAATAACTTAAACTTAATAACTTAAATAACTGAAGAAGTCAATCTTCTGAATAAAGATACCCCCACCAGGTGATTACTGTATTAAAAAAAGAAATTGTATCTAAAAAGGCATCTACCAAATGAACTACATGATCCCTCATGTCACAAGTTGTGTCAGATGTGGGCGGCAGGTGAAACTTGGGTCTTTCCTCCACAGTGGGTTCATGTCAGGGACTGCTGGCTCTGTGTGCAGTGCAGTCAGGCAAGCGTTCCATGCAGGTAGTGTGTCTTCAAGAAAAAGAGAGGAAACCTTAGTGCATGAGATGATATCTATAACTGTGGGGGCCAGTCCAGAGGGTCCAGTGGTGTATGAGGCAGTGAAGGATTGGTTAGAGAAGAAGTAGAAAAATCATGCAGCACAGTGCAAGGGACTGAGATCTGGGCCTTCATCTTCATGAAACCTATGTTACGTACTGAGGAGTTTGAGGATTTCCCTGTAAGATTTAAGAGTCACTACATAGAGGGCATGGTGGAGGGAATAGTAGTCAAATTTGCTGCAATCACACCTATTCTGAAGTGGTCCATGGTGCACTACCATCAGATGGACCCAAGCTGCAATGACTACAACCAATATAAAGCTGTGATCCTGTGGGAAAAGGGAGCCCAGTATGATGGGGACCTTCAGCAATGCTCCGGTTTGGTAGAGGTATCACTGGGAGGCCAAAGCACTGGTAAAGCCAGAGAAACACAATGTTTTGCCACTTGGAAGAAGTGGGTGGCCGAGAGGAAAGAGCACAGTACCCAATGCCCTGCATGGGATACAACCAAATTTCTGAAGAGTGCAAGTCTGCTGTTACCCCTAGCAACAGGGATCCTGTTTTGCCTGCAGGTGCTGCCAGGGAGTCTGGAAAGTCAGCAAGGTCTCCCCATGGCCACGTGGGGAACATTGTCTGTGCAACTGCAGCAGCAGAGAAATGGTGCACTCAAGTGAAGACTACGACACCGGCCAAAGGAAGTGAGGAAAGAGTGTGTCAGGCAGTGAGATCCACTGTGAGTGTGAATATGGACTTGCTGAGATGTGCTACCCTGAGCAGTGGAAAGGTACAGGTAGAAGCCCAACCGGTAGCAAGGCTAAGGACTAAAGAGAATGTGAGGAATCTGTATGTGCCTGGAGTGCTGACAAAGTAGTACTAAGGGTGACTAAGGGTGACCAATGAAGGTTGCATGCCATGTTCCCTAGTGACAGGTGCTATAGAGATACCCAGGGATACCTCTCAGGAGCTTGTGTATGAACATTTGTGCTCACAAATTTGTATACCCTGGCAGAAATCATGACATTTTTCACATTGATATTGAAAATATGGCTGATCATGCTAAAACGTCTTTTATTTAAGAACAGTGATCATATAAAACCATTTACTATTACATAGTTGATTGGCTCCTTTTTAAATCATCGTGATAACAGAAATCACCCACAATTATAGGTTAATCTTCCACATATGTGACTTTTTAAATTGTAATTAGTGTCTGTGTATAAACAGTCATTAAGTTTGTTAGCTCTCACGTGGATGCACTGAGCAGCCTAGATAATGAGCCATGGGGAGCTGAAAGAACTGCCAAAAGACCTGTGTAACAAGATAATGGAACTCTATAAAGATGGAAACGGATATAAAAAGATATCCAAAAGACTTGAATGTGCCAGTCATTACTGTTCAATCAATTACTGTATTAAAGTGTTACTAGACCCAGGACCCTGAATTCTCTCTATCTGGTCTCCCACAGTACATAGAACATGGAAGTGCAATTATTTTAGTAAATATAAACTGCTAAATACCTTTTCTCATCAGCAGTTAGAGCAGTCTTGTGTTCAACAGAGCACTGGTTAAAGCTTGTAGGGGGAATTTTCTTTCTGCTCTAGAAGGATGCAGAACCCCTGTCCTCTGTCTGGACTGTACTGATTGGCCCTGTGCTGAGCAGATGCACTCTCCTAAAAAAAAAAACAACCTCTCTAACAATACACACCAAACTGAGCATGTGCAGAGTGTCTCCACACACGATATGTCTTATCAGGAGATAAGAGTAGGACACTGCAAGAAGGGGAGGATCAAAGAAGACAGGATCACACAGCATTTTTACAGAGGATTAATCCCTTAGGTTCCACAGTGAATATAACAAGCATGTTCTTGAACTTTCCAGCACAACAATGGCCCAAAGCACAAGGTGAAGTTGATCCTATAGTTGTTACAGCAGAACAAGTTGAAGACTCTGGAGTGGCCATCACAATCTCCAGACCTTAATTACATTGAACCACTCTGGGGAGATCTCAAACGTGCAGACTTTGCATGACCTGGAGGTGTTTTGCCAAGATGAATGGGCAGCTATACCACCTGCAAGAATTTAGGACCTCATAAACAACTACATACTACAAAAAAACTGCACGTTGTCCTTGATGTTAAAGGAGGCAATACACAGTATTAAGAATAAAAAGGTATGCAGATTTTTGAACAGATGTCATTTCATTTGTTTATTTGTTGCCATGTTTTGTTTTATTATTGTGTTATGACCTACAGTTGATTATGAATCCCGTAAGAAATAAAGGAAATGTGTTTTGCCTACTCATTCCTATTCTCTTTAAAAATGGTTCTGTATTCTGTATTATACCAATTCTCCAAGGGGATGAAAACTTTTAAGCAAAAATGTGTGTATATGTATATATTCAGTGATGGGATCAATGTCTGTTTGTCTGTAGCCAACCTGTCCTCGTTTCTGTCACCACCGAATCTGGGGAAATAAGGCTATTGACACAGAAGTGATAAAGCCGTATTTCTGCAGTTTAATACAATATACAAAGGGTAATATACAGAAACTCAACAGGCATTTCTTGGTCAGGATAACCAATAAAACATTACACTCTTATCAGTATAGTGAATGCATGTAAAAACAGAAGCTGTAAAAGCTGAGGGGCACCATAAAAGGTATTTTTATTTACACAGAAAAGAAAGCATGTTTCTGAGAAACAAAACTTGAGCTGTGAGATATCTAAAATGGAGGCATTATCTCAAATGGATGCCAGTTCAAAGATATATTTCCTTACATACAGTGCTCAGCATAAATGAGTACACCCCTTTTGAAAAGTAAGATTTTAATCAACATCTCAATGAACATAAGAACAATTTCCAAAATTTTTACAAAACTGGGTTTTATAGACCATTTGTTTAGCTCATTACATGAAAGTAAGGTTAATATTATAACTTAGATTACAAAATCTTCAGTTTTACTCCATGATTTGAATGGACAGCACTACGTCTTCTAGACAAGGAATGCACAAGTTGACAAGATATTGCAGCATCTATCTTTTTTTCATTCTTCAAGAACGACCTCTTTTAAGCCTGGATATAGGATGAGGTGTGATGCTCAAGTTGTCTCTTCAGTATTCCCCATAGGTGTTCGATTCGGTTCAGACCAGGAGACATACTTGGCCACCGAATCACTGTTCTTCAGAAATGCAACAGTGGCCTTAGACGTGTGTTTTTTGGATCATTGTTATGCTGGAAAAGTGCACGACGACCAAGGGCATAGAGTGATGGTAGCATCTTCTCTTTCAATATAGAGCAGTACATCTGTGAATTCATGATACCATCAATAAAATGCAGCTCACCGACACCAGCAGTGCTCATGCAGCTCCACAGAAGGACACCACCATGTTGATTTATTTTGGTCTCATGACTCCAGAGTTCCAGTATTTTATAGTATTCTGACTGATACGTAAAGCTTGCTGATCTTCTTGTATCCTTCACCTTTCTAAGAAAAATAAATGATTTTCTTTCTCAGGCCTTGTGACATTTCTCTTCCATGTGGTGCCATTGTTGACAGCATGAAATGCGAAGAAGTTTTCTTTGTTAAATTCTTGCTGACCGCGGATAGCTGAATGACGGCTACACTGCGGCCGGCCAGTTCTGGGAGGGCGTCATATGATGTTCTCCCGTGATCGCGCTTCTGCCAGTGATGGCTGTGTCCCTCGGATGTAGTGTCTGATGGATGTCACAAAGAGGGGGGTGAACAGACACTTACAGCAGCTGTTTACATTTGTTTTCGCTCATCATTGGACAGAGAGATCACAAATGTAAACACAGCAGGGTCATGGCTGGGTTTTCTCTCTCCTTTCCTCACACCAATACCGAGTGTGAGGAAAGGAGAGAGAATTGGTTCCTGAACAGTGAGTGTGATCTACACTGCCCTATCTGTGATCTACAGTGCCCACCAGTGTGTATATCAGTGCACGCCAGTGTGTATATCAGTGCCTGTCAGTACTCATTGGTGCACATCAGTGAAAATCTGTGCTTCTTGGTGCCTGTCAGTGCCCATCTGTGCTCATCAGTGCCCACCAGTGCCCATCTGATGAGTGCTCATCAGTGCCTGCCAGTGAGTGCACATCAGTGCCCA